AGCAACATCTCTGAGATAAAGAATTTGCAACAATACCAATCGCAACAATGAAACAACAACAGCAAATGAACAAAACAAAAGCAACAAAACAACAACACTAATACTAAACGCGGATAACAACAACTCAGACTGATCTCAATTTTGTTGGGCTGGTTGTTTCGTAGTGTTTATTGTTTTGGCTTTTGTTTTGTTTTTTGGTTTGTTTGTTTGTTTTCAAAGTTTTTATTGGGGGGTGTTTTTGTTTGTTTTGTATTTTTTATTTTTTAAATTTTTGGCTTTTATTTCGTTTTTCCCTCAGGTTGAAGCATGTCTCAATACAGCAGAAGGTTTCGTCAAGTCTCTAGACTCTAATAATTACATGTAGTAGGCAGGTATAGATGTATGAAGTATGATATACAGCTTTTGCCTGGTCGGTAGACATAGATCGAGGGAGTAGATCGATAGATTACCCCAGTATATATATATATATATACATAAGGAGGTTATAAATAGGCATAGAAGGCGTTGTGATGTCCTTGCATCCTAAGTACTATTATTAACTCCTTCCCTTTAGATCTTGACCTCCGTGATATTCCTCAAGGAGACACATAGCCAGTTCAGGTGGAATCAAATAAGGTGCAAGGGTGAGTCTTACTATTTACTTTTATTTCCTGGTAGATCTCAGGAGTAGTCGTCGACCTGATCTTCAAACTGTAGTGCAATCACAGAATTCTACACTGAGTGTAGAATTCTGTTGTAGAATTCTGTGAGTGCAACTGATTTTTACGTATGCAACAGCAGTCTAATTTCGAGCCAGCACCGGTATGTGACATTACGTACGATTTCGAATGTTCTCTACATGATTACATGTTTGGTTTTTACTGACTGACTAGACTATTTTCAGTTTTGGTAAAAATTAATTTTAAATTTTTGTCCGGGTTGCGGTCGGAGCATTTTTTTCTTCCGATTTTAGAACAACCAAGGGATCTAGATATTTAATAACGTGGACAGCTTGCACACTAGGCTTTTTACTTTTGAGGGGCAAATTGGCATTTATCATCAACTGAGAAAAATCTGGCATTCATGTAAAAAGGGGAAAACCCGATCTTAATCTTGTGGTATCGTAAACATTTTTCATGAATAATCGATCTTTTACTCACAGAGATATTTTTTTATTACGCTTGTGCTTGTGACGAAGGATGATAATTTATAATATTATTATTAGGCCTATGTGTGTGTGTATAAATGTGTGTGTGTG